AGCACCAGCAGTACCTCCAGTACCTCCAGCACCAGTAGCTCCAGGTCCTCCGGTAGGAGCTCCGACGACACCAACACCAGAAGGATTCGCAGCACCCCCAGAGTCAGCACTCGAACTCGAAGCACCCCCAGAGGCAGCACCCTCGGTCTCAGCACTCGCAGGCTCAGTACCCTCAGTCGCAGCACCCTCAGGCCCAGTACCCTCAGTCCCAGCACCCCCAGGCTCAGTACCCTCAGTCCCAGCACCCCCAGGCTCAGTACCCTCAGTCCCAGCACCCCCAGGCTCAGTACCCTCAGTCCCAGCACCCCCAGGGTCAGTACCCTCAGTCTCTGCTCCAGTGTCCACAACAGCAGGCTGCAGAGGCGGCGAAGACGGCCGTGGCGGGAAACCCGGGGGGGTCTCCAAGCGAGGAGTGCGGCGAGTTGTCGCCGTGTCGTCGGCGACGGCGTCACCCCCCTCAGGTGAGTCAGAGGAGTCAGAAGAGATCTCAACTGGCTCATCCAAGGGGGGTGGGTCTACCTGGGACACACCTGAGGGAGCAGGACCCTGTGGGGGAAGGGGGTCTACCGGGGGGGGGACTGGTACCAGGAAGAGAGGTGCGAGAGGGACCGGGTGGGACGCGTGCGGGTGAAGTCGGTAGTAACAGACCGACTCGTCAAAGGTGACATCCTGAGAGGACAGAACATGACGCGAGGCAGGGTGGTAGAACTGCCAGGGTGGAGCGTCGGTGGGGAAGCCCAGGAAGACACAGCGGAGAGTGCGAGGGGAGAGCTTGCTCGCTTTGGTATCGCGAACAAGGGAGAGCGCGCCCCAGACCCGAAACGACGACGCATCACCAGGCTGTCCCGTCCAACGGAGTGTGGGCGAGGTCTCTGGAGCAGAGACACGGGGCCAGAGGTTGAGCTGATGCGCGGCGTATCGGACCGCAAACGGCCACAGGAAATGGGGAGCAGCCGCATGGATCATGGAGGTACGAGCAACCTCCATGATCAGGCCAATGCGACGCTCAGCGATCCCATTTTGCTGCGGAGAGGCCGGAAACGTGAACGACTGGCGGATGCCCTCATCCTGGCAGAACGTCTCAAGGACGCCAGAGAAGAACTCACCACCCCTGTCAGAGTGCGGACGCAGGACTGGGAAGTCCTGCTGAAAGCGCTCGTGCAGCTGGAGACGAGTAGCACGGATCCAGCGGATCAAGACACCACTGACATCCGCCTTGCGCCGCAAGGGGAAGACTGTGGTGTAGCGTGTGTAGTCGTCAACCACCAGCAGGAAGTAGCGCTCCTGGTCCGTTCCACCGACGGGGGCCGGGCCCCACACGTCCATGTGGAGAGTCTGCAGAGGAGCAGTGGTCGGAGGAAACTCGGAGGAGTGAGGAGCGGCGCGCTGCCGCCCCTCGACGCAAGGAAGGCACGGCGGCGCAAGTGAGCGCGGGAGGGGGGGCAGGGTCTCAGGGAGGCCAGTGACCAGGAGCCGGGAGTGCATGCGGCGCAGACGCTGCAGGGAGGGGTGACCAAGACGGTGGTGCCAGCGCTGAGTCTCGTGCGTGAGTACTCGGCACGAGCAAGACGCAGCTAACTGCCCTGACGCAGACGCTCGACTCGACGTAGCTACCTGACCTGACTCAGCCACCTGTGCAGACGCAGTGGTCAGTGTGTACAGACTAGACCCAGGCTGTCGAGTGAACGTAGCCAGGTGACGGCCAGTCTGGGAGCACGTACAGATCGCCACACGCTGCCCTCCAGGAATAAAGGTATCAACCCAGACATCCTGAATGGCAGCGTTGCTCACCAAGTTCGTCGAGAACGTGGGGAGGTGGAGACCTGACAAAGAGCCGGAGGGGACTGCTGGACAAGGGAGGACCGTGGAGGCTCTCGCAACTACTGGGCCCCCAGAGGGGTCAGCCAGTGAGACTGGGACAGGTGCTGTGAGTGGTGTGACTGTGGTGCAATCACGGAAGAAGCAACGTGACGCGCCGGAGTCAAGCGTGAACGTGTGCAAGACCTCAGCTGAGGCAGGACCTGTGGTAGTAGACGCACTAGCAACTAGAGCGTCGGTAGACTCACGGGCACCTAGAGCTGCAGCAGACTCACTAGCACCTGGAGTGGCAGCAGACTCACTAACACCTGGAGTGGCAGCAGACTGACTAACACCTGGAGTGGCAGCAGACTCACTAACACCAAGAGCAGCGGTCTTAACATAACGATAACCTCCACCACCAGGACGACCTCGCTGAATAACCCACTCACGAAGCTGCTGAGGGGTGGGGTCGTCGGGGAGAAGCAGTGCCCGCTGCTGTCCACCCCTGGCCGCAGCGACTGCCGCGGAAGTGGCCATGACAGACAGTGACTGTCAGGAGTAGGTCCAGCACCTCCAGCTCCTACAGCGCCAGCAGCACCTCCTACACTCCCAGCAGCACCTCCTCCACTCCCAGTAGCACAAGTAGCAGCAGCAGCAGTAGTAACAGCAGCAGGGCGGTTCGGTGGGGGTGGGAGGCCGCACCTCCACCACTCCCAGCAGTACTCCCTCCAGTAGCAGCAGTAGCAGGGCGGCTCGGGCAGCAGCAGCAGACCGAGCAGCAGCAGCAGCAGCAGCAGTAGCACTAGCTGTAGCAAGTGCAGTAGTAGGAGCTGCAGCAGTAGCACTAGCTGTAGCAAGTGAAGTAGTAGGAGCTGCAGCAGTAGTACTAGCTGTACCAAGTGAAGTAGTAGGAGCTGCAGCAGTAGCTTCAGTCAGGAGCAGCTGCAGTAAGTGCTGGAGTAGGAGCTGCAGCAGTAGCACTAGCTGTAGCAGAAGTAGCTTCAGTCAGTACCAGCTGTACCAAGTGCAGTGGTAGGAGCTGCAGCAGTAGCACTAGCTGTAGCTGGAGTAGCTTCAGTCAATAGTAGCTGTAGCAAGTGCTGGAGTAGGAGCTGCAGCAGTAGCACTAGCTGTAGCAGCCGTAGCTTCAGTCAGTAGCAGCTGTAGCAAGTGCCGTAGTAGCAGCAGCAGCAGTAGCACTAGCTGTAGCAGCACTAGCTTCAGTAGCAGCAGCAGTGAGTAGCGCTAGCTGTAACAGGAGTAGCGTCAGTAGCAGCAGCAGTGAGTAGCGCTAGCTGTAGCAGCAGTAGCTTCAGTAGCAGCAGCAGTGAGTAGCACTAGCTGTAGCAGCACTAGCTTCAGTAGCAGCAGCAGTGAGTAGCACTAGCTGTAGCAGCAGTAGCGTCAGTAGCAGTAGGCGCGCGTGGGCTGTGGGCGTGCAAACCAGGGGCGCGCAACAGGTGCGTGCGGGGCGGCACTACGAGGAGCGCGCATCAGGTGCGTGCTAGGGGCTGGCGGGCAGCGTGAGTGGCGCGCGCAGCAGCAGGAACGAGGGGGGGACCGGGCGTAGGGGCTGACGGGCCGCGCGAGAGGCGCACGGGGCAGCTAGGGCTCGGTCAGGGGGGTCGCACGTGACTAGGAACAGAAAATCGCGTCTAGGCAGAAAAGGGAACCGTCTCGCCTAGGGCACGTTTTCGCATTTCGCGTTTCTCCTAGGGGCGCGACTCGGGCAGCAGGTCGAAATAGTAGTGGTGGGCCCTTTTAAAATTTCGGTCCTAAGGAGCATTGTGCTCTTAATACCATGTTAGAGTTACTAGCTAGATGAGTGAGTTCGATTAGGTAAGGGGTGGGGTACAAGGACTATCGAGAGAGATTGTTGTACCCTCTAAGGAAAGAACCCTACACAACCTAGAGTGAAATAAGCAGAACAATATGTTTTGACATTGGGTCCATCCATCGGGTACAATATTATTGCTTGAGGTTGCCCACAGTATCAGTCACCTCTTGCTGAGCCACCCCACTCTGCCTTACTGCGCCATCCCATTCCCGTTTATAGGTAGACAGAGTAATGAGCAGAATGAAGCGAGGAAACGACTGTCTCTTAGTTCTAAGAAACTACAGTTTTGTAATGAAGGAAATTAAGCATTAGTGGGGCTAACGTTTGGTTCGGATATGCTCTAAGAGGCTCAATGTTCAGGTTGCAGGCCGGCCAAAGAAGGTTTTGGTTTGAGATGAAAGTGTTGTGCAGGAGGGTTGAGTGTTGCAAACTCTGGAGCTTGTGAAGTATTGGAGGCACTTCATGTACAGCTGGTACGGTAACTTTCGTACTCGTTGATGGATTTCTCTGGTTCGCCTGAAATGCTTCGCCACAATTCGTATGGGTCGTTACCCTCTCGCTCGCCACTCGTCTCTCCACCAACCCCAACCCGTCTCGTCTCTCCCAGCCTCACCTCGCCACCAAGCCAACCACCAAGCCATCCCGTGCTTGCAAGTTCCAACTTCCAAGGCACCGAACCGAACAAACCCCCCCAGTCTTATCGGTTGGGTCCACCACGCATCAGCAGCACCACCCACACTCACTGCAAGACACACAACACCGAACAGAACAGCAAGACCAGTGTGGTTCCCCCAGATACTCCCCGCCCGTTTTCGCCGTCCGTGGACGAGAAGAAGCCTGGTCTAGGTGGCTTTGTTCCGTTTCGGTCTGCTTGTGCTGGTGTGAGAGGCTCCCCGTGTGAGAGGCCCGTCGCTATATCCGCTTCGTATTGCTTCATCTGCACCCACCTGTAGCGGTCTCAGCATATAAGTACAGTTTACGGTCATAGCCATTTAGGTTTAGTCTTTCTGCCGGCCGTGCTTAAGGTTTTTTTTCTCTCATCCGCTCATGTTTGGTTCAAAGGCGCCTAGGTAAAAAAAAAACCAAAAGAAAAAGCTGTCGCATTTTTATTCTTTCCGTCGTAGTTCGTCCAGTAACATCCTATCCTGGCCGTCTTGTCAACCCTAAAGACAACTCGACTTGGCATCGTGCTGCTGCTGCTCTTCTCCTTAGCAGACCTTCAACTCTCGTGTTCACCTTAACCTCCATCAGCTTTTCCTACCTCACTCAACCGCAACGCACCGTCCTTCTCCAGCGCGCGCTGCTCCCCCTCCCTTATCGCACCGCCCCTTCCACCGGCCGGCGCGCTGCCTTTCCCGCGCAAATGGCGGCGTACTACGCGGATCTAGACCGGCAGATCGAACAGCTATGCGAGTGCAAGCCGTTGTCGGAGGTCGAAGTGAAGCAACTATGCGAGAAAGCGCGCGAGGTGTTTCTGGAGGAGTCGAACGTGCAGCCCGTGCGGTGCCCCGTCACCGTGTGCGGCGACATCCACGGCCAGTTCTACGACCTCATCGAGCTCTTCCGTATCGGCGGCCGAGCGCCCGATACTAATTATCTCTTCATGGGCGATTATGTCGGTACGTGCCGTTAATTCCAGTGTTTTTGGTTCCGGAAAAAAAAAACTTTTGAATATGGTTGTTGCGAAAGTCTTCTAACCATTGCTGATTTTGTTTTTTTTTGCGGGGTGTCGTAAGCTCCCGTTTTATTTTCTCCCTTTTAGGGTTGGGATTGGCAGTCCTTCGGTCCTTTAGTCGGTCAGCCGGAAATTGACGTTCAAAAGCATGAGTTTTTAAGAAATGGTAGGGCATAGTTGTCTTGGGAGCCTGTCAGTACCGGACAGCGCTGAACGCACAAGCCGCCGAGTCTCGATGTCGACGCAGGAGATGCATGCCGCTCCGCAATTTCCCCCCCGCCCCCATTCTCCCCCACACCTCTTCCCTTCCCCACCTTCCCTCCTCCACCCTCCTCACCTCCCTGCTTCCCTCAACTTCCCCCTCTTCCCTCTCTCCTCCCCCGTTTTCCTCCGCTCTTCCCCCGTTTTCCTCTCTTCCCCCGTCTTCCTCCGCGCTTTCGCCCGTGCCACTCCCCCCGTGCGCGCGCAGACCGCGGGTACTACTCGGTGGAGACGGTGACGCTGCTGGTGGCGCTCAAGGTGCGCTACCGCGACCGCATCACCATCCTGCGCGGCAACCACGAGAGCCGGCAGATCACTCAAGTGTACGTGCGGGATCGTGCAGTTATGTGCGGTGCCTTCGTTGCTGCGCACATCTCGCCCGTCTGTTTCCTCTGCGTTCTGTGCCTCGCACGCACGACTTTCCTTCTCTATTATTGCCTCACGCTTTTCTACCTCCACATTGTAACAGCTCTTAATGTCCCCTCGCTTACAACCTCCCACTCCCCCTTCCCTCTTCCCCCCCTCGTCTCGCCCGTCTCTTCTCCCCTCCCCATCCTCACCGCTCCTCCCCGCTCCCTCCCCTCTATCCCGTTCACCCGCCCCCTTTGCTTCCCCTCATCCCGCACCCTCTCACCCCGGCACCCCGCACCCTCCCGTTTCCTCCCCTTTTCCTTCCCCCCACCTCCCCCTCCGCTCCCCCCCCGCGCAGGTACGGCTTCTACGACGAGTGTCTGCGCAAGTACGGCAACGCCAACGTGTGGAAGGCCTTCACCGACCTCTTCGACTACCTCCCGCTCACCGCGCTCGTCGAAAGCGAGGTCCGTCGCGCGCGCGCGCACCGCGGAAAGGGGGCCGGGGGGCGGGGGAGCGGGGGGGTGGGGGGGGGGGGGGGGGTTGTGCGGAGGGGGGTTGTGGGGGAGGGGGTGGAGGGAGCGGTATGTGTGTGTGCGGCGCTCGTGAAGGGGGGTTGCGGAAGGGGAGGGGGGGAAGGGGTAAGGGGAAGGGGGAGGGTGGTGAGTGCACGGACTCAATGCGCCGACATCCTTTGTTTCCCACATTAGCCGCTGGGTTGCCTCCCTTCTGCTGCTCCCTCCTCGCATCCTCACTCTCCCCACTCCCCACCCATCCCTTCTTTCCTGCTCCCCGCTCCCCGCTGCGCTTTCCCCCTCTCCCATTCCCCCCCTTTCCCCTCCGCACCCCGGCTCCCCTCTTTTTTCCCCGCGCCATGGCAGATCTTCTGTCTGCACGGAGGGCTGTCGCCGTCGCTGGACACGCTGGACCACATCAGAGCACTCGACCGCTGCCAGGAGGTGAGCCCCGGGGACAGGTAGGCGCGCGCAGGCGCGGGCAGGCGCGGGCAGGCGCGGCAGGTGCGGGCTGTGGGGGGAGAGTTGAAAGATGGGGATGGTGGAGATGGGGGAGAGAACTTGCGACGCTGGTGGAGAATGGGTAGATTTCGGATGGTTGGCGGCGCAAGGGGGGAAGGAGGTTGGGAGCAGGTTGGAAGGAGGAACGCTGATGCTTGTCCACCCAATTCCCCCAAACTCCCCGCGCTCCTCCCTCTTCTCCCCAATTTCTCCTGAATGACCCACGAGGGCCTCACATGCGACGCTGGCCTCACTGGTCGGACGCTGACGATTTTTTTCCCCTCAATGCCCTCCAACTTACCGCGCCCCTCCATCCACCTCTTCCCCAGGTGCCCCACGGGGGCCCGATGTGCGACCTGCTGTGGTCGGACCCGGACGACCTCCCCCCCTGCATGCAAGCCCCTCAACCCCTCCTAATCTCCGCAATCCCTTGCGCCCCTCTTTCCCCCCGCCTCCCCCCGCTTCCCCCCGCCTTCCTCGCCTCCCCCCGCCTCCCCCCCAGGTGCCCCACGAGGGGCCGATGTGCGACCTGCTGTGGTCGGACCCGGACGACCGGTGCGGGTGGGGCATCTCGCCGCGCGGCGCGGGGTACACGTTCGGGCAGGACATCAGCGAGCAGTTCAACCAGAACAACGGGCTCAACCTCGTGGCACGCGCTCACCAGCTCGTCATGGAGGGCTACAACTGGGCGCAGGTCAGCATGGGGGGAGGGGGAGGGCAGGGGGAGGGGAGGGGAGGGGAAGGGGAAGGGGAGGGGAGGGGAGGAGAGGGGAGGGGAGGGGAGGGGTGTGGGGGGGAAAAGGGATGAGGATGGGGTTTGAATATGTGGGTGGGTGGATGACCTGGCATTGACTGGGGGACTGCTGATGTGGGATACTGGGTGGATGACCTGGCATTGACTGGGGGACTGCTGATGTGGGATACTGTATGTTTGGGATGGACGTTCTTCCTTGTGCAGCATCGTTGCATCTTGTATGTTGATCGGATTACGAATAGTCAAGTCTAGGCGAAAACTAGGCGACCCACCTTATCCCGACTAATTGTTGGTTTCCCTGTAGCCCGCCTGTTTTCCCCACCTACACACTCTCCTCCGTACCCATTCAGCATGTCTCCTGTCCTGCATCCATCCAAACTCAGTAGTCTTTCCTGGCAACGCAGCACAGTCAAGTGCCTCAAGCAATCCACTCCTCCTCCCCAGTACCTGCCCACACTCCCATACATGCAACCCGTGTCACCCACTCCCCCTCTCAATCCCCCCTCCATTTCCCACCTCGCCCATGTCGTTCCCCCCGTCCGCCTTCCCCGGCCGTCCCACCCCACCGTCCCCCCACCCTCCACCAACCCCCCAGGACAAGAACGTGGTGACGATCTTCAGTGCGCCCAACTACTGCTACCGCTGTGGCAACATGGCGGCCATCATGGAGGTGGACGAGGCCATGGACCGCTCCTTTCTGCAGTTCGAACCCGCGCCCCGCCAGGGCGAACCCGACGTTGCCCGCAAGACCCCCGACTACTTCCTTTGATCCGCTCCGTTTATTTTTATGGGAGATTGGGGATGGGGGAGGTGGGGGTGTGTGTGCGGTTGTTGCAGGGGGGAGGCGGGGCTGGGGTGAGGGTTAATGAAGGGTTGAAGGAGGGGAAGGTCAGGGGAAGAATGAGCAGGGTTGGAAGAGGAAGGGTTGGTTCTGTTTCAGATGGTATGTGTGGTAGTCGGGTCATTCTCCTAAATGCACTAGCACGGTTGATTGGACGAACGCCACACGCCAAGTTTTAGCATAGGAGCCTCCATTATTCTCTCTAGTCTGCCCTCCTAGTTTGTGTTTGTACTGATGTGTGTGGATATTAGAAACATGCCACTTCGAATAGAAACAACAAATGAGTGATATTGTGAGTGGTGAAAGAAGTAATGCACAAGGTCAAACTGCACTACACTAGCAAGGTGCAGAAAGAGCCCAGTTTTGGAGGGAAAGCATGAGAGAGCCTGCTGCCTTCTTACGGTAGTGGCGGCATTTAAAACTAACCCAGCACACACTATGGGTTGTTGTGAGACATGCGTTTGGCTGATGCCACTACCCTTTCCCTGCTCGGGCCATGTGTGTGGGAGTCATGTGAGGACGTGTTGAATTATATTTGCATATCCTGTTATAACTGCCTACAGCTTGCTAGTGTATTAGTTAGATATTAGGTTCAACTGCTGGTGGTGTACCCTTTTCCCCTTCCTCTCCTTCCTATTTGTACTCCCAACTTCATAATGAAAGCCCCTCTTTTGGCCAAACTTCTCCCTCCATGATTCTCCTTGCTAAACCTCTCCTAAACCTAAGTACTGCATAATCTCCTAATCTTAACATGGTATCAGAGGGTGGTCCCTCCTAGGACCTCGTTTTTCATGGGCCCACCAAACCCGCGATCTGCCATGGCGACTTATTGTGCTGCTGGCATGGCTGCTACTGCTAGTAGCGCGAAATCCGCTGCTGGCTCGAAATCCGCTGCTTTTGCAGCACCCGTCGCGCTGCCCCCTTTCGCCTGCCCCGTCGCGCTCTGCCAGTGGCGAGCGTGCCAGCGAGGCGACGGCGGGCGCCAGCGCAAGCGCCAACGGCGGGCGCCAGCGCCAGCGCCAACGGCGGGCGCCAGCGCCAACGGCGGTCGCCAGCGCCAGCGCGGACGCCAGCGCCGACGGCGGGCGCCAGCGCCAGCGCCAAGGGCGGGCGCCAGCGCCAGCGCGACGCCAGCGCCCAGCGCCAGCACTTCCGCCAGCGCCAGCGCATGGGGGGGAGGGGGATGAGGGGGTGGCGGGAGAGCTTCTGCCGCGCCAGCCACCTCCTCTCCTCTCCTCTCCTCTCCTCTCCTCTCCTCCTCCTCTTCTCCTCTCCTCTCCTCTCCTCTCCTCTCCTCTCCTCTCCTCTTCTCCTCTAGCCGCATCTCCTCCTCCTCTCTCCTCTCCTCTCCTCCAGCCGCATCTCCTCCTCCACTCTCCTCTCCTACAGCCGCATCTCCTCCTCCTCTCTCCTCTCCTCCAGCCGCCTCTCCTCTGCTCTCCTCCTGTGCACCACCACCAGCTTCCTCCTCCTCACCAACAGTTGTGTTTGCTCGTAGATGGCGAGCGACCGGCATCCTTCGCCCTCCGGCTATCCCAGCCCTCCTCCGCGCTCTCCGCGCCCTCCTCCGTCCTGGCATTCACAGGTGCTGCCGGTCAGCCACCGCTGTTTCTGTGCCTATCCCAGCTACAGCAACCGCTCTCCAGGCGACCTGGTGCCAGACACCACTAGCTATAGCCGTAGGCAGTTACGGGGGTGTGTTGAATTATATTTGCATATCCTGTTATAACTGCCTACAGCTTGTGAAAGTTTAAAAGGAAGAAGAGAGGGTTGCACTAGCAAGAATGAGGATACAAATAGCAAACCCTAGAAGGGTTGTACTCGCTATAGAGCACCCCACTACAGGCTAGAGCATAATATTCTGACACACCCCCATAGCCAAAGTGGGGTGTAATCAGCAGAGCAAGCAAAGCAGTACAAGCTCAGGGTGGATCACAATGTCACCACACATTCTGAGCACAAGTTCAAGAAGCAATAGTTTAAAGTTCACAATTATGAGCAAAGCTAGTGGTAGTCACAACGGGCAAGTGAGGAGGAGGAAAGAGACTATGAGAGGAGAGGAGGTAGTGGGCGGCAGCTGAAGCTGCTGGCACACGGCGCAACTGGAGCAACTGGCACACGGGCAACTGGAGCAACTGGCACACTGGCAACTGGAGCAACTGGCACACGGGCTACTGGAGTAACTGGCTCCGCGGCTAAAAGTAGCGGCAGACGAGCAACGGACTCACGGGCGACTGGAGCAACGGGCTCACGGGCGACTGGCGCAACGGGCTCACGGGCGACTGGCGCAACGGTCTCACGGGCGACTGGAGCTGCTGGCTTCACGGCGGCCACCCCCTTCAACCTCCCCAAACTATCCCACTCCCCCTGACACACACCCGCTGCTACACCGCTAGCTCCACTCCCCCTTCACCCCCCCTTAGTACCACTCCAACGGCTCCAACAAGTCCACCCCCCCTCAGCGGCAGCTGCAGCACAGGGAGACGGAGGAGGAGGAGGAGCAGGGAACGGCACACAGTGGCTTCACTCCCATACCCCTCACCCCCAAACCCTAATTCAGGAGAACGGGCTGTAGGAGGGGTGGGGCGCCAGTAGAAGCACGGGGGACAGCGGGGAGGGCAGGGGCAGCGAGGAAAGGGCGGCCCACGGGCCTGGCACAGCCGCCCGAACCGCGCGCAGGCGGCCCGAGCCGCGCGCGGGCCTGGCGCAGCCCGTACGGGCCGCGCGCGGGCCTGGCGCAGCCCGTACGGGCCGCGCGCTGGCCTGGCGCAGCCCGTACGGGCCGCGTCCGGGCCTGGCGCAGCCCTTACGGGCCGCGCGCAGCCTGTACGGGCCGCGCGCAGGCCACGACGGGCGACGGGGGGCGACGCGCAGGTCCCCGTCGCCCGTCGCAGCGCCTCCCGAGGGCGACGCGCCGAGTGACGGGGCAGAAGCCCGCCGCGCGCCTCGGGGCGCACAACGGGCAGAGAACCGCCGCGCGCCACGGGGCGCACGGCGGGCAGAAAACCGCCGCGCGCCTCGGGGCGCACGGCGGGAAGAAAAACTGCCGCACGCCACGGGGCGTGCGGCACAGAGGGTAGCAGTGGAAGTTGCAGCGGAAGCAACGAGGTGGTGAGCCCACCCACAGGATCGATCCAAGGGGATCGACCTGCTCTGATAGCATGTGAAAGTTTAAAAGGAAGAAGAGAGGGTTGCACTAGCAAGAATGAGGATACAAATAGCAAACCCTAGAAGGGTTGTACTCGCTATAGAGCACCCCACTACAGGCTAGAGCATAATATTCTGACACAGCTTGCTAGTGTATTAGTTAGATATTAGGTTCAACTGCTGGTGGTGTCTTAACAGGACGTTAGGAGACAAATGCAAACTGGCATTTCCTGGCACTCGTTCAACCATGGCCTGAATCCCTGGCCCCAACTTTGTTCCTTGGCCTGGCCTACATCCTTGATGCTACCCCAAGCACCCGCACATGCACATACATACCCATACATACATAGACATGTGCTCGCTTGCACGCACGTGCACGCACACACACACACACACACACACACACACACACACACACACACACCCACACACACACACACACACACACTGTTGAATTATATATCTTATACCTGTCTACAGCTTGCTAGTGTATTTGTTAGCTATTAGAATCAACCGTTGGTGGTGCACCCTATCCATTTGCTCTTGCCTACTTGTACTTCCAATTCTATAGTGAACCTCCTCTTCTTTGCCAAAACCTCTCGATGCCATCTCCTAGCTTCAAGCCTTCCTCCTAAGCTTATGCCTCCTAAATAGTTACTTTGACACACACACACACACACACACACACACACACACACACACACACACACATACACACACACACACACACACACACACACACACGCTCGCAAACCATGGAGTGGATTTCTATGGGTAAGATAGTGATCCGCCGTGGCAGGAATAGGGAAGGCGCATACAAGCCTCAACTCATCCATACGCTGCTCTCAGCTGTACCCCCCTTGCTGCACACATCGTCTCAGTTCCACATTGAAGTTGTCTTGAATCAGGTACTTTGTTCCATTCACTCCCAGCAGATTCCAGTGCCGCCCATTTTCGTCCCTGTTCACCCCAGAGTATCTCCACTCGCATAGATCCGCATTTTCGATCTGCTGCAAGCTGGCTTCGTCTGTACCCTCCCCCCCCACCACCCACCCTGCCCTCTCTTCTTCCCCTTGAAACGGATTCGTTACAAGCTCCGTCAGCTCGTGTGCCAGTTTGTCCACAATCGAATCCGCAGCCAAGTCCCCCTTGCTTCCCACGTAACCCTCGTCAAGGTACTGATACGTACAGTTCTGTGGACACTGCATTGTCGAATCGCCTACAAACGCGTACGCGAGCGTGGGTCCGCCGTCCACTATTATCGCGCTCGTGTGATACGCGCAGTAACCTCTACAGAAATCAGTTAAGTGAACGTCCCCGCTCGTTAAGACCACATACGCTGCGCTCGAATCCTGGGGAAAGTGCTCTTCTCGACTCTTGTCCATTGCCTGTCGCAGGATCTGTCGCACATCATCATGCGACAAGGGGCTCATTATCGACCCTAGCGGCGACAGCGAGTAACTGTCCGCGATCTCGCCCGCTAGTCGCAGCCGAGCAGCGGCACGTCGCCCGGCAAAGTCAGCATAGTATCGTGAGGTAATGTCCCACCATCCCGCCACTGTCGCCGGCCTGCCATTCCCACCCCTTGGTGAAGCTGACATCTCCACCCCCTTCCCCTCACCACCCTCTCCACCACCTCCGACATTGCCGTCACTCCCGCCGGAGCTGTAGCTGCCACCGTGGTTACTGTTACTGCTGCTGTTGCTGCCAGTGCTGCTGATTTCGCGGCCGGTATTGTCCCTCTGCCCGTCACCGACGCGGCCGCTGCTTCTGCTCGTGCT